GGATTGTGATTTTAAATAGGGAGATCAGGGGAGGCTTACTGAGAGACATTTGAAGAAAAGCTTAAAGAAGGTAAGGGAGAGAGCCATGCATATCTGTGGGAAGAGCATTCCCAGCAGAGAGAACAGCCAGTGCAAAGGCCCTGAGGGGGAGCATGCCTGGAGGCTGGAGCAGAGGGAGGGTGGAAGGGAGTACAGCGAGAGATGAGGTCAGGTCAGGAAGGGCCTCACAGGCAAGGCAGGCACATAACCTGTCATTCAAACTTGGAGAATAAAAGAGAATGATGTCTTTATAATTATGCCCAGATAACAGGTGAAACCTGGATAACCAGAATGTATGGTCATTGACCTGCATGGAGGCCATTGTGAGGACTTTGGCTTTTATTCTAGGGGAGAAGAAGAGCTATTGAAGGGGTCTGAGCAGAAGAGTGACATGATCAGACTTAGTTTTTTTTTTTCCCCCAAATACTTTATTATAAAAAGTTTTAAACATACAGCTAAGTTTGAAGAATTATACTCACCACCTGGATTCTATAACATTTTGCTGTATTTGCTTTATCACATATCCACATCCATCCATCAGTCTATCTTATTTTCTTGATACATTTCAGAATAAGTTGCAGACAATGGTATACTTCTCTCTAAACACTTCGGTATCCACAATATTAACCAGAATTCATTATTTATTTATGTTTGTTTTTATTTTCTCTTGAGGCAAAATATCCATACAGTGAAATGCAGAGGTGTCTACTATGAGTGGGTGAGTTTCAACAACTGCATACATGTGCATAAGCCCTTATCAAATACATCGCTACCCTCCCTGAAAGTTTCCTGTTGCCCCTTCCCAACCCCGCTTCCCAGAGGCAACCATTATTCTGATTTGGGTTTCGATTAGGTTAACCTGCAGTAGAACTTCGTATGCGTGGAATTATACAGTATGTACTCTTTTGCATCTGTTTTCTTTCACTTAGCATAGTGTTTTTGAGAGTTGTCCATACTGTTTCTTGGGTCAGCAGTTCGTGACTTTCTGTTGCTGGGTTGTATTCCATAGACTTGGATTTGACTAGGATTGCTCTGTGGGGTGGACAAGAGATGTGTGTAAGTCCTCTCCCTGTTTCTAGCTCCTTGCACAAACCTGTCAAGCATGTGGCTCAGCACTGGGTGAGATGGGTGGCCTTTCCAAGGGACTTTTCTAGAATGTAGAGTCTGTGGCATCAATCCTCCAGAAAACTGGGGAGACAAGACTATATCAGGGACAGGATCTAGGGTGACCATGCATCTTGCTTTGGCCAGTACATTAAGTTCCATGTTCTGAGAAACCCCTCAGTTCTGGGCAAACTGGGATGGTTGGTCACCCTAGCAGTATCCAACCATTGCCCCTTCTTCACCCCGGACTATACTCCATTTCTCCTAAGGACTGATTTTCCTAAAACTCTAAGCTGGTCTGCTCCTCCCCTGCTCTAAAACTTCCCAAGGCTCCCCATCCCATTGCCTGGAAACCCAAAGGATATACAGGCATACCTCAGCGATATTGCAGGTTCTGTTCCAGACCATTATAATAAAGCAAGTATCACAATAAAGTGAGTGTTAATTGTTTTGCGGGTGGAGGGTCTTGCCTTCCATTTGTAAAAAAATGCAACACCTATGAAGTGCATTAAAGCAAGGTATGCCTGTGCTCAGCCTACAGCAGTGATTCTCAAACTTTGCTGCACATTGGAACCACTGGGGAATTCTGATGCCTGGCTTCTACCCCCATTTTCATTGGTCTGGGAGGTGACTTGGGCATTGAGATTTTTAAAAGTTCCACACATGATGCGAATATGGAAAGTTTGAGCACCACTGGACTATGGATATGATTTCCTTGGCTTACATGGTGTTGAATATGCTGCCAACATTTAAAATCAAGTGATTTCATATAAAAGTCTGGATTCCCAGCTACCTTTGACAAAGCAGAAGGTCTGAAACGTTGTGGCTGCCTCCAAGTGTGGTAATCACTAGGGGGTGTAGAGCACTAGCTGCTCCTGGAGATGGAGTGTGTGTGCCCCAGCTGCCACAATTCCCACCATTCTTTAGTGTTTTACTCTTCTCATTTATGTTCATCTGCATGGCCTACAGGCTAATGTCTGAGCTCTGCAGCCAGACATTCGAGCGAGGCTTTCCAGGTGCAGGCCTCTGTTCACCTCTTCAGCCTCTTCACTATTTCAGTAGACTCATCTCCCTTCCTGCCCTCCAACCACATGGGCCTCATGGTTCCCTTTCACACTTGCCTTTGCCCATGCAGTTCTCCCACCAAACTCATCATGGCAGACAAGACCCTGCTCAACTTGGACCCTGTCCATCTCTCTCGTCCCTCTCCTGAGCTCTCGAACATAAAACATACAGAACTTCAAACACACAAGTTGGCCAAGTTAGTTCCCATCTTAGCACTTGCTGGTCCCTTGCTTGGGAAACTATTCCTTTGCTTCCTCTTCATTCCTGGCTGATGCCTACTTATCTGTCAGGCCTTGGCTTAGATCTCACTTCTTTAGGAAGGTTCCCTGACCCTCAGACTAGGTCAGGTCCCCAGTTAGTCACCGTACTTCCTCTTTTGCTTGATATCTCACTTCTGCTCAAATAAGGTCACATTTGTTCATCTCTGTCCTCTTAGGGCCTAGTATAGTGCCTGTTAAATAATAGTTATTCGTTAATGATAAATGAAAGAACAAAAGCAAGCACACTTCTCTCCCTCTACTGGCAAAATGCTACTCTTTTTCTGGTTACATTCCTATTATAGCATTCAACTCTGTTCTCCAGGAGTCCCAAAACCTCCCTGAGCTCAGGTTCATCTCAGAGTGGGCCCAGTGGGTCCTCAAACCCATCCTGTGGTTGTTTTCCCAGTTTCAGGATGCATATTTTTAACAGGTATACTCAGCGACAGGCAGAATCTCCACATAAGTTGTCTGGGTCTCTGCACCATTGTGAAGGCAGCGCTGCGTCTAGTTGGTGACCCAGGGCCCCACACAGGGCAGAGCACAATAACTTACTTTTCACTCTTTTACATTTGTCTATTGATTTTCAGTTGACAGTGGCTTTTCTGCTGGTCCCCTCCATTGTACCTCCAATCAGCTCTGGGAGGCAGCTGTGGTGTAGAGAAGGGTCAGGCCGCTGTATAGGAATAGAGGTTTCCCGGGTTCAACTGATGTATACCAACTGTGCGATCTTGGGTACATCACTGCCTCGTCTAGATCTGAATTGCCTCATCTGAAACATGGACCCAATAATCTTTTCCTCTCCTTTGCGGTCATCCATCTTTGAACCATGTAAGGAACAGCGTGAACCAGGTGCAGAGCCTGCACCTGAACAGCTGTATGTAAACTAAATTTTTGTAAAGTAATATTTCCAACCTTTAATTTTTAGACTCACCGGTAGCATCGCTGGCACGCTAGGAAACTTAGGAAATATAGTGCCAAAGAAAAGAAAGTTAAACTGTCTTGTAATCTGTTAATAACCCAACTTGAGATTTTAATGTACCTATTTTAAAATATTGTGAGACGTTTGGGATAAATGAAAGCAGCCTCAGATGGGGCATATTGATTGGATTCAGTGGCTGTGTGACTTCAGTCGCCTTGTCTGTATGTAGAATGAGACCAAAGGGCCAAGCTCACCTCACAGCCTGTGTGAAGCTACGGGAAACAAAGGAGGGCAGCGCGCTGGAAACCGCCCAGCGCGAGGAGGGCGCGCCGCGGTGCGGTAAGGGTTAAGGGCACCGAGGGCCGGGGGCGGGCGTCCTAGAGAGGGTGCGGGCGGACTTCCGGCGCCGGACGCCCTCTCGCCAAAGGAGTGCAGGCTCCCGAGCTGCATTCTTTGGCGTGACCTGCGCGCCGGCCGGAGCGCTCGGTTAGCCCAGCGGGACGGCGCGCCGGAAGCTGCCTGGCTACGGCCCTGCCTGCGCCGCGGCGGCTGTGAGGCGCATGTCGGCGAGGCTCCTGCCGACGTAGTCCCCGCCCCCCACACCCCAGTTCCGGACTAGCAGTCTGGATGGTGGGCAGCCTCTGAGCCCCTCTGGGCGTCAGTATCACAGGGCTGACTGAAGACAGTCGGTTTCTTCAAATTACTGGCACCTTGGAATCCTCAGTATCTCCATTTTACAGTCAAGGGAACTGGGACCCAGAATAGCTAAGGCATGCTTTCCTGCTAGCTTATCTAGTCCAGGCAGAGGCCTAATTCACAACCACATCCTTTGAGTTGTAGCGCGGGTGCTCCAGTAGTCTAAGGACATTTCTGATAAGAGCCACCATTGAGAGAGAACTATGTGTCATGAGCGGTACCTGTTTATCTCTTCTCACCCTTATTGCAAACTCCTGAAGCAGATGCTATTATCCACATTTTACAGGTAAGAAAGTGGACTCAGGGCGATTTTCTCCAGTCAGTGCTGGTCAGTGGCTGAGTAGGGAGGACTGTAAACCCAGGTTTGTCTGACTTGTCAGGCAGATCTGTTTTGGGGAATATTAGCTAACATTGAGTGCTTACCACTAAATCCTTTCTCAAAAGGGCAAAAGCTTACCACTGGGAGATGATTGGGGTGGGACGTGTCACAAACCTAGCTCAGTTAAATAATAGTGGTCCTGGTTTAGATGTCTTTGCATTCCTTCATTTACCTCAAGTAGCAAGAATCATATTTAACATCGTTCTTTTTAGGAACAGCTTTATTGAGATATAACTCACTATACAGTTCACCCATTTAAATTGTATGATTCAGTGGCTCTTAGTGTATTCACAGAGTTGTGTAACTGTCACCACCGTCAATTTTAGAACATTTGCATCACCCTCAAAAGAAACCATACTTAATAGTCACTCCCCATCCAAACCTCCCACCTCCAGCTCTGAACTATCACTAATCTACTTTTTGTCTCTCTAGATTTGCCTATTCTAGACATTTCATATAAGGCCATGTGTGGGTTTTTGTGAACGAGATCATTTTTTTAAACAAAGCCCAGTCTCAAAAAAACAAAGAAAAAAGTTCAAAACAAAACAAAATCCAGTCTTTGAGCTCAGAGCTTTGGCCTGTAACCATAGGCAGTTCAAGTTGAATAGCATTGTTTTGATTTTGTTGCTATTCTAAGGTAAGCGATAGATATTTCTGTTTTTTAAGGTATTTCCTTTTTCAATAAATCATTTCCATTGAAAAGTGAGTTGATATTTTTAAAAGACACGATTAAGTATATAATAATAGAAGTGGGTGCGCAATATGCCCGAAGGTTGGGAAGATGGGATGCGAATGAAGTTTGGAAAACACTAGATTGATTTGAAGTTCTCCAGGACATAGTTTGAAAACCATCCTATTATTCCATTTCAGTCTCCTACAACTCCTGTGAGGAAGAGTATCATTTTACTGATGAAGAAACAGATGCAGAAAAGTACAGTAACATCCAGGGTTACTCAGCTAGTAATAGAACCTAGACTTAACCTAAGGTCTAATTCCAAAGCCTGGAAGTAAAACTGGGGCTAAGGAATGGGCTAGCAGGCTTGAGAGAAGGCTATAGCCACTAGACAAAAATGTGGGCACCAGGCTAGTTGTTTCAGGTACAAACTATTCAAATATTTCAATTAACGTAATTTGTGACTCTAAACAGAAATCCCATCTCAGTCACTGAAAGGGGCTTTCTTCCTCTCTTAAGGACATACTAGAATGCAGGAGGTGTTGCCTGGGTTTTTTGGGGGTGTGTGTGTGCATGTGAATGCGCTTTCGTACATGGTACTGGTTCTTGGGAGAAGCTAATCTCTAGTTCATCTTGATTGCTGTTGGCATCATTGTCCAAGCCCATAGTAATCCCCTAAAGTCCATGGCTTCTGCCCTGTACCACAGGGGTCCCCAGCTCCCAGGCTATGATGGGTACCAGTCCGTGGCTTGTTAGGAACGGGGCCACACATCAGGAAGTGAGTGGAGGGCGAGCAAGCAAATCTTCATATGTATTTGCAGCCACTCCTCAGTGTTAGCATTGTCAACTCAGCTCTACCTCAGACTATCAGGCATTAGATTCTCATAGGAGCATTGGTGCCAAACAGGTTGGGGACTGGGGCACCCGAATCTCTAGGATGGCTGAGACTCCTTGTATATAGGGTCCCATGTTTCCTGGAACATCAGGCAGTCACATGCTGTCAGGACTGGCTACTTTCCTGGAGCACAGTCACACGTGCACCAGTACTTCCTCTTTCCCCTTTCAGGCCAGGGGACTTTTCTATCTCCTGTCAACACCTTTCCCATCAAGCCCTTTTTTATCCGTTCCCTATGGGTTTTAATAGCACGTTAAACTCAGAGCCCATTTCCAACAAAACTAGTTTCCTTTTCCTCAATTGCAGAGAGAGCTTAATTTTTAAACCTTAACTTTAAAAAATGTAGCATATAGAAGACGTACAAAACAACTAAATCCTGCCATACTGTTAACAATTATTTAACTCAGTCCTCTTCTCTCATAGCTACGCAATTCAACTTGAACCTAAACTTGAAGTTAACCACACCTGTCCTCCTTAGGAGGCAGTTAGGGTCCACAGAGAGTCACAGCCCTAACTTCAACCTTGCTCTAAGAGTAATTTTGGACGACATAAAACAAAATAGCTAATATTGAGCCAGATGATATTCTAAGAGCTCTACATGCATGATTTCACAAAACCATTTCAACAACTATGAGGTAAGTTCTATTTTATGTCCAAGAAAATGGGGCCATAGAGAAGTTAGGTCATTTGTCCAAGTTCCCACAGTTAGCAGACAGTAGAAGCAGATTTGAATCCACATAGTCTGATTTCAGAGTGTGTACTCAAACACAAGTGTTCAGATGTGGATAATTTCTTTCAGCATTTACTGCAGATGGTAGCATTCTTATACATTGGCACCCTCCTGGAGCTATTTTTAGCTACTTGGGAAGCAGAATTGAGAACTCTCCTTCCCAAAGAGGAGTCTGAGCACCCTATGACCTGGATCTCCTGCTCAGGACACTTTTCTCTCTCCAACTCCTGCCTCTCTGGGCATGAATTAACGAACAGCTGTTCCCCTGACCCAGAACTGCCACCTTGAGTTACTGCTATGTGTCCATATTGGGCTAAGTATATTTACAGTTCCTCTGTTCTTTGCTACAACCCAGCAAGGAATCATCCCCATTTTACAGACAAGTAAACTGAGGTTTAGGAAGGTGGAGTGACTTTCTCAGGATCACACAGCTAGTGAATGGAACAGTAATTGGAACCCGGATGCTCATGCCTGAGTCCCCTGCTCTGTTAACTGCTTAGTGGCCTTCCAGAGTGGAGAGCCACATCAGTGAGTTCCTGGGAGATGATGACTGGCTGTGGTACCCAAGCAAGTATCATCTCTGGCTTCATTTTTTCATATGCAAAATCTCTTTTTTCCCCCTCAATTTTCCAATGAAGGTAGGCTTTTTAATTTCAATTTCAAAATTAAAGACGACTGTGAAGAAGGTACTCTTATAAAGAAAAGAATCTCATTGTTTTGGGGGGGGCGGGGCCACATGATCTGCTCTAATGAGACCTTTCCTGCCTAGGCTTCTAGAGCAGCAACTGGGCTGAAGGGCTTAGAGTTTGGGGAAAAGTAGATGGGGATCCTCGAGCCTACATGGGGAACAAGGACATGATGGCAACAATGGCTGCCAATTACTGGGTCTTCACAACACACCAGGCCCTGGGCTAAAGGCTGTGTATATGTGCGTATTACATAGTGCATACACATGCACGCATACACTAGAGGTCATGCTTTTATCTACTGCCCTACTCCTCTGGAGTTTTCTTAGAGGTTGCCTCATCCTACCTCCTGATTTAGAGGTGAGGAATCACATCTGTTCATTCCTTAACAGTCACAGAGATTCTGTTCCAGGCTGGGCCCATGCTGAGCTCTTAGAAAAGATGGCAAAGTCTAATTCAAGGTGTTAGTGATAGGAATTCCTAGGTAATGAGAATATAGTTATTTTTGCTTATCTGTGTTTCTTTCTACAATGCACATATACTGCTTTTATAATAAAAATCAGTTCCCTTCCCTCACAATATGCCTCTGCTTGTATGGTACTCTTTCTCCAACTTAACTGATTACATACCTCAAAACTCCCATGTTAGGAGGAATTCCAGTTTAAGAATTCAAGACCTTGTACTAGAGAGGTGTCCCCCTAATTCAAGTGGCAGCCACATCTGCCAGCCCTTTCTGAATAAAGGAACAAATGTCATAACACCCCACTTTCCTCCTCTCAAGTCCGTGATCAATACAGGGATTGGTATCTGAACCCAATTTTCCATTGCAGTGATTCAGAGGTCAGTACTAGGCCTGAGTATTTAGACAGGCACAGAGCAAATTTGATTGTCACAATTTCTGAGGATGCTACAGGCATGCAGTTAGTAGGGCTAGGGAATGTTGATCATCCTGCAATTTCCCAGGTATCCCACACAATAATTGTCCTGCCCAGAAAGCCAGTGGACTCCCATAGGCTGGCCTGATGGCCTCTGAGGTGTTTGAACCTGGAAATACTGCCTAACTGGGTCATGTATACCCAGCTGATCAGATCTAATCTCTTTAAGAAGTTTGAAAGCCAGACCCAGAAGTGAACTGAAATGGCAGGAGCCACAGGAGCCTGTCAGGAGTCTGGTGGGATCACTGTGCTAGGAGTGAATGTGCCACTTCTAAGGAATAAGGTTATTCCAGGGACCCCCTGACTTCCATGGGTCTCAAAGGCATAAACAATGTCCCAGGTGTCTGTTAGGCTCCACCATCAACACTAAGCAACTAGATGGGATATAGAAATCTATGAAAAATCCTATAAATGTTTTTCCTTTTACTGATAGTCATTGAATAGGCAATAAATGATATTTTAAATGCTTTAAAATGACTTCCTCTATTAATGAGTATTCTGTATATCCTTATGATCTTGAAATGTTTTAGGATTCATTTGCATGGGTTATTTTGGGACAGGTAAGATGCCCTCCAGGAAGGATAATCTTCCATGGGATGTTTGCTGCCTTTTTAATTTTACAGCTCCAAGTCCCAAAGTCATGAAAGGAATGACTTGAAATTTGTATATACTGTATCTGAAATTCTCAGTTGCTTAAAAGTTGAACAGAAAGAAGTAAATACCCATATTTAAAATTTTTATAAGTAGACTTTGTGATTGGGGAAGGATTATACCCCTGAATAATACCTAGCTAAATATTTCATTCGGTTTATAATTGTCAATTAAAAAAATTAAAGTTCTAGGCTCAGAGAGGGAACAAAATAGGCTCAGGGTCACACAAGTGACCCTGTACAGCAAGTTTGTACAAAGCTAGAACTACAACTTTGATTCCTTCAAGCTCAGTGCTCTCTCCACTTTTCTTCTTCCCATGACTGTTGACTCACAAAACTATGGCCAGTGATAAGACTAGATTAGTTTAAAAGTGAAGCTGATAAGAAAGGTGAAGCAGAGGTTATAAGGCAAATTTTTAAAATATTTTGTTGTTGTATTAGTATTCTATTGTTGTAACAAATTACCACAAATTTAGTGGCTTACAACAGCACAGATTTATTATCTGTATGTCAGAAGACATGGGTCTCACTGGGCTAAAATCAAGATGTGGGCAGAGCTGTGTTCCTTCTGAGGCTCTAGGGGAGAATCCATTTTCTTGCATTTCCTAGCTTTCAGAAGCTCTCCAGATTTCTTGGTTCATGCTCCCCCTTCTCTAACCTGAGAGCAGCAATGTCCATCTCTCTGATCATTCTTCCACAGCCGCATCTCCCTCTGACCATAACCAGAAAATGTTGTTCTCCAGTTTTAAGAACTTCTTGTGATTACACTGGACCACTTGGATAATCTAAAATAATCTCTCCATCTTAAGGTCTTTAACTTAATCACATTTGCAAAGTCCCTTCTATAATGTGAAGTAACATATTCACTAGTTCTGTTACCCAACTCAAGGGATTCGCAGCTTGGAGTGTTCAAGAACAAGGTGGTTGTGGTTGTTAGTTTTATTTACTTGCAGCAAGTAAAGGAGAAGGGATTCATATCCACAGTTCTGTCTCTCCTAAGGGAGGCTTAACCATTTCATACATACACTATTTGGTTAATTACATGTCGATTTCTTCTTTGTATCTTGTTAGGTTCACATCAAGCTCATCTGGTTACAGTTGCCTCTACATAAAGTGCTGTGCTACATTTTAACATTTAGCAAAAATAGCGGTTTTTAGTAAGAACCTCCCAGGCCTTGACCCTTGTCCTGTCTAACAGTTCTGGGGATTAGAGTGTGAACATTTTGACATTGGAGCAAAGGCCATTATTCTACCTACCACAGTTATGAATGTCATCTACATGTATAAACTTTCATAGAAAAATATACAGCTTAACATATTATTAAACAAAATACCCTCATAATCACCCTCATTGTCAGAATCTTGGCAAAACCTGTCCCCCTCAATTCATGTTTTTTATTTGTATTTGCATGAAATATTTTTTTGTCCATCTGTTTATTTGAAACATTTTTGTCACTTTACCTTATGTGTGCTTCCTATAAATTGCTTATAGCTAGATTTTAAAAGTAATTTAGTCTGACATGATCTGTCTTATGATAGATTAATTCAGCCTGTTTATATTTATTGCAATAACCAATATACTTTTTTCACTTACTATTTTTCATTAATGTTTTCCTGCTTGTGTTTTTTTTGTTGTTATTGCTGCTGTTGTTGTTTTTAGCTTTTGTGGGCTTGGTCAAGTTTCTGTTACCTCTCCCTGTCCAGTGATAAATTGATAGTGTTTATCTCCTCTTTCCTGACAATCATAATTCTTAAATTGTTGTATCAATAAATGGTAATAATCCTACTCCTTCACTAAAATGTTTTACTTTCTCACTCTTCCATAACCTCCTGAAAGATGATACCTTTAGAATGCTTTTAACTTCTCTGTTCTCCTCACTCCTGAGTTTTACTAAGACAGCTTACAATTTTGTGTTCTAGTGTATTATTGGGTTTTACATTAAAGTTAATCACTCTGCAAGAGTCCTTACTTAATACTTAAAGGACAAAT